CCCCTCTGAAAAATGTGTATTTATTGGCTTAAATCATGAATAGTTTGCTCCATTCATCTCTAACAACTCCCCTCTAAGTTGCTTTAAAGTAAAACGCTCTTCAAATGGATTATTCAATTTTTATGTCTGGCATATTAAAAGAAATTTGTTTGTGGTAATTATAATTGTGCTCTGAGGTAATGGATTTCACCAACATCAGTTGTGCTTCTTTACAAGGAAAAAAATGAATACAGTTGATATGTAACAGTTACAGAATTTATAGAATAAGTTGTTATATTAATATGGATGCTGAAATCTTTCTTCACATCAGGAAGTTCCCTAGAGAAGGTCGGTAACTGCCATTTTTCATGCTGAAATATTGTCTACATATATTTGTTGGACAAACTCACTTCTTCCAAAAGACCATCCACCGCAGTTTTCACAGACAATTGTGAAAGTGAAAGTAGAAGTTAATAGGTTTTTTACATCAGACTTTTTTAGTCACACGGATTACTGTGGCCACACCACAGTTCATGAATATTGAATATTGCAGCACGTTTCTTTTTAGAGTTGCCATACAGTCGTTGACCTAAAACGCCGTGCTATAAACATGAAGGCAGATACACATTATCTTATAAGCTGCCTTACAGTAAAACGCATGTCAAGTGGATACAGCTACTAAAAACTTTCTTCATATTTACATGAGTTCCTCAGGAAGATCCCCAGAGAAGATCAGTAACTGTTCATTCCAGCCAAAGTTGTTTCAATACACATCGTTTAGCAAGACTTTTCACAAAATCAATAAATGAACTATTTATGGAGTTTTTTTGCATGCTACTGAAATATAGATATTTAATTCTATATTATATTATATTGAAATCTATAGATATTTCAGTGTTTCCCCTACCATTATATTAGGGGGCGCCCCGCCCCCCCCCAACGGCACCTCCCGCCGCCCCTTGAAGGTCAAGTTAATTTAATTTAATTTTATTTTCTATATAGCACCAGATTCAATTCAATTCAATTCAATTTTATTTATATAGCGCATTATCACAACATTACATTGTCTCAATGCGCTTTACATTTCTGCCTCGTAAGGACCCCCCATTGAGTAAGCCAAAGGCTTACACAACAGAAGTCATTTAAGGTTACCTTTCCTATAGAACAGGTCTATACATTGTGCTCACCTGTGTGTGACAATCTCGACCTGAATTACCCAACTCTGGTAATAATCCACAGAGATTTAAGAAAAGATAGGAAGAAGGGAGGCTACAGCGATTCGATGGCTAAAATAACTTGCTCATCTCCTATCTCAGACTTGTGAAATGCAAAATCCTATTTGGTACACGTGGCGCTTTTGCTTCATTTCCGGAACACTCAAGAGGGTCTAGCTGCAGACGCCTTTAGAGTGGAGCTCCACCAGAAATACGTCACCTCCACAGGAAACACGTGATCTTTAAGGACGTAAAGTTGAGCTCTGGTTAGGGTTAAGGTTAGGGTTTATTCGCTGTGACACAGAGTTGAGGCCACGTGTTTCCTGTGGAGGTGACGTTTTTCTGGTGGAGCTCCACTCTACAGGCGTCTGCAGCTGGACCCTTCTCAGAATACTTTGAGCCCTTTTTTGAACAGAGAGCTCCATCTAGTGGGAACAGAAAAAAATAGCAAAATGTTCTGGAAGCGTCATTTTGTCCATCACTATTGTTTGGCACGTGTTTAAGTTCTGAAGATAAAGTATAGCCAGACATTCCTGACTTCCCATATCAAGAGGCTCTAGAAATGTTCTTCCAGAAGCCCAGAAAAATACACTGCAGTGACAAAAGCTGCACACTTGCAAACTGTGGATAATTTTCATAAAAAGAAATGTTCTGATATTTAGTTCAGTTGTTATATTGACTGCTGTCATCAGAAGAAACACAAACACCATGAATCCTGTTAGTGTCCGTCTGCAGTTATATAATTACTAGAATAAGTTCTTATATTAATACAGAAACTGACGTCCTTCTATACATTTGCATGAGTCTCCTGGGAGTAACATGATTCGAGAACAACAGTAGCTAACAGTTACGTCAAAAAATGCCTTAAAAATAAAAAAAACATATAAATATTTCTACAGACGGACAAAATTAACAAGTTATTAGGATTACTCGTCTACAGTTTGTACGGTATATATGCCTCTTTTTTTTAACAAACTCACCTTTTCCAAACGACCCTCGAAAGCTGCAGATTTACAGACAATTGTGAAAACGAAAGTAAAAGTTCAAAGCATTTTATATACAGGTAGTCACAGATAACGGTGGCCACACCATAATTCATGAATTATCTTGTAAGTTTCTATAAGTAAAACGCTCGACAAACGGACACTTCTATTTATATGTATGGTATATTATATTAAAATAAACTCAGTTGTGTTAATTAGAATTAGACTCTGGGATTACGTCAGGTTTGCTTCTTTACAAGGAAAAATATAAGGCCGGTTGATGTTTAATGGTTAAAGAATTTCTAGAATAAGTAATTATATAAATACAGATGCTGAAATCTTTCTTAAAATTTACATGGTTCAGAAGTTCCCAGAGAAGGCTGCTGTCAATTCCAGTCTATTCAAGATTTTTCAAAAAAGATTGTTTAGCAGGACGAGTTATGGGGGTTTCTTACATTTTGCACGCTATTGAAATATACAAATATTTTTTTTAAATACTCACCATTTCCAAACAACCTTCAACCGCCGCAGTTTTTACAGAGTGAAAGTGAAACTAGAATTTCAAAATCATTTTATATAGTTACACGGATAACGGTGATAAAAGGTAAAATATAATTACGTTTGGGATTTAACAATTATATAATTATTAGTTCTTATACTAATACAGATTTTGAAACCCTTCTACTCATCTACGTAATTTCCCTGGATATAGTATTATTCAAGAACAGCAGAAACTAACAGTTCGGCCAAAAATGCCTCAAAAATTTAAATAAAGGAGAAAAAAAAACTTTTCACAGGCGGGCAAAATTAACGAGCTACAGAGTTTACTAGTCTGCAGTTTTGTATGATATATAGGCCTATTTGTTTAACAAACTCACCTTTTCCAAATGAGCCTCGAAAGCTGCAGATTTACAGACAATTGTAAAAACGAAAGTAAAAGTTCAAAGCATTTTATATAGTCACAGATAATGAAATAAAACACTGGTAAATTTTTCTTCTTCTTCTTTAAACATGTTGGTTAAATATGAGTTTAAGTGCTTTCTTTTAAAATATGTAAATACCGCTAAAGTTTTTCTTCTTCTTTTCACATGTTTGTTATACTGTATAATGAGTTTAAGTGCACTCTTTCAAAATACGGAAAGTGCAGGGACGTTTGTGCTTACTCCTAACAGCACGTGGGACGTGTATGCACTAGCTTTTTATTCACATTAATAAATACATGTAATGTATTTTTATTCTATTAAAGTGTAAAGACCCCCCAAACCATATGGGTCCCTATCAGCAACATGTGGCACAAGCATGTCCGATACCACATATGGATATAAGCCCTGGACCAATCAGAATCAATCAGAGGACAGAGAGACACCCTTATGCACCTACACAAAAACTGAAAGAACCACCATGTGCCATAAAGGACAGAAAGATGAAAGGAACATTCTCAAGTAGGGCTGTCACGATCACGTTGTGATGTAATCGCGATTATATATTTGTTATGAGTAATAATTAATCTGCCATTAAGTTGTTTTTAAAAATTTGCTAATTGTGAGCATGGCCAGATGACAGGAAACGGTAATCTAGGCCTACCTGAGTATTGTTTATTTATCTACTTTTCAAAGGACAAAAAATGAACAATAGTGTTCATTCTCTGTAATTGAAACAGCTGTTATAAACCAAGCAGTAGAGAAAGTTTTGATGACAACTTTAAGTGTGTAGTTCTAATTAGGCTGTTTTATTACTATTATTATTGATATTATTATTATTGTTGTTATTAACAAATAATAATGATAATACTTATTATTATTAACAACAAGGGTTATTCGCATGGGTTTTCGCTGGGGGCTCCGGTTTCCACCCACGGTCCAAAAGAGTGTGGGGTAGGCTGATTGGCATGTATAAATTGGTCCTGTGTGTGCTCAGCGGTGCCCTGGTGCCTGCCCAGGGTTGGTTCCAAGGATGGCCTCCATGACCCCAGTGGGGATTAAGTAGTTAGGATAATGGATGGATGGATTAATGAATTAAGTACTAATAAAATCATCAATAGTAAGTACTTGCAGTTGAACTGTGATGGGTTGAATTTTGCAGACCTCTGACTGAAATATTTGCATGTTAACTGTCCTGTACTGTCAATGCAAGGGGTTGCCCAAGGTAAACCCTCATTCTGGCCCCAAAGGACAAAACCTCTGCGGGCCTTGCATGGGCTTACATAATGGAGGCCTCTGTGGGATTAGAGTGGGTTTGCACTGTTTACACTGGCTCACAGTAAACCCACACCTGCTGATTCGGGGTATGTCTGCTGGGTCGCTGGTTCAAATTCCATCCATGAGAGAATAGTCACGTCACCATTGGGCCCTTAAGCAAGGCCCTTAACCTCCTGAAAAATACTCCAGGGGCACCGGATAAATGGATAACCCTGTGCTCGTGCAGCAGTCAAGGATTCGACCAGAGCGGGCACGCAGTAGTAGTCGTGGATTCGACCAGAGCGGGCACGCAGTAGCAGTCGTGGATTCGACCAGAGTGGGCACGCAGTAGCAGTCATGGATTTGACCAGAGCGGGCATGCAGTAGCAGTCGTGGATTCGACCAGAGCGGGCATGCAGTAGCAGTCGTGGAGGCCATAGTTTATTTTCTAAAATAAAATGTGAGGGAGCAGTCAGTGACTGCAGGTAGGTAAAAGGCTGTCTCAGAAAATTACCAAATAATAGTTGGTGTACGCAAGCCAGATTGAAACCTATATAATCAAGTAATGAAATTGACAGAGACACTAAGGCAAAATATAGACGCAGAACACTGAACCAAATCAAATCACTGAGACAGACAGTGACCAATGCTGGAAACATCAGGTCATTTTATTAGCATAGCATCTAATCTAGTGCAGGATTACAGTGTGTACTTGGTTATCTTATATATTGGATTATATTTGAGCATCATTCATATTCACGTGAAAAGACAATTCATCCAATCCAGGTTATGAAAAGGTTTGTGTGTCAGGAAAGTTACAGAAATAGCCTAATGCAGGTTTACAGGGACCTAAATTGTGGCGTAAAACACAAGGACATGGACAGAGTAAGGCAATGGCACAACCCCTCAATATGATAAACTCATCTACTCTGTGTTTACCTCATAGTTTTCCAAATAATTGTCAGCAAAGTTGAGCATTTGCTTCATAGCCATGAGGAGCAGGATGTCACAGGTGTCATTCAGCTCAATCTCGTCATAGTAATTCTTCACTGGAATCACATTTGACGGTGGGATGCCCAGAGAACCGCCAGCTCTGTAGATCTGCAGTGAGACAAATACATTCATGTATTTTTTTCAGCTGCTGTATCGCAAGATTAGTGTCAAACAGGGTTGTAATAAGTCACAACTGAAATGGTATAAATCTGCCTTTAGTAGATGCTGCCAATTGTGAATGTACAGTAGAACCTCAGAACTCGAACACCTCTTAACTCGACCAACTCTGATATCAAATGGGTCTATCGATTGTTTTTCAACTTGTGCCTCAAGCAAAATCTTGGAACTCAACCATTCCTGCTAAAACATGTATGGGTCGAGAAGCATTCAACTCTACCAGGTCAGACCTCTAAAGCGTCTATGGCGTTTAATCAGTCTCAAAACTCGTGCACGTAAAAACCATGTGCGCATATGCACTCGCCAGCAGAAAAACCATCCTCACTATATATTTGCATCTGCACAACACTTGCCCGCTCTCTCAGCGTTAAATTATTATTCTCAAAATATGAGGCACGTGCATATGCGCCTGTAAGCAGAAAATGCGCTCAGTGCACCTTCTTTAGGACATTTTGGACCAAAAATCTTAAATTCATCGCCAAGAGGTGGCATTATTTCAGGGCTACAGACGTTATATTTTTACCTCTAAAGACAACCATATAACTCCATGTACAGGCGGCATTATGCAATGTGTCTTGATGTCAACAAAGTGATCCTTCAAAATAAAAGCACCATTAACTTCTAACCACAAACACCATAACAAAGTCAGGTTCTTCACTGTTTGCTTATTATTCTGTGTGATTTTTCTTATGTGCAATGAAATAGACCAGGGTGACAAAATAACTATGACATACGATATTGTCATGGAAATACATCCATACTTATGTTTAATCAATTAGCCTATGATTACAGGTTAAAAGAAAATTGTAGAGCCATTTTCCTTTGCGTCCCAATGATTTTGATTTTACACACCATAAATAAAAATACATATTTGTTGATAGTGATTCATTTGTGATTTTTTTCTACAGATCAGCTGCACTATAGGGAGCCGCTAAGGGTGAGAAAATATATTTTTTAATAGTTTTGTGTTTCCTTTCAATAGTTTTGCCCTCCCTGGCAATACTTTTCCATTACTAATAATGACGGAACTGGGCACCACGATCAGCAAGAACCTTAAGTGGGAGATGAACATCTGTTCTCTCACAAAAAAAGCCCAACAGAGAATGTTCTTCCTGAGGCAGCTGAAGAAGTTCAGTCTGCCTAAGACTTTGATGGTGCACTTCTACCCTGCCATCATTGAGTCCATCCTCACCACCTCCATCACCGTCTGGTACCCTGCTGCCACTGCTAAGGACAAGAGCAGACTACAGCGCATCATCCACTCTGCTGGGAAGACGATCGGCTGCAACCTTCCACCTTTACAGGACCTGTACGTGTCCAGGGCTCTGAAAAGAGCAGGAAGGATTATGACTGATTCCTCTCACCCTGGTCACAAACTCTTTTGGTCTCTCCCCCCTGGCAGAAGGTTGCGGTCCATTGGGACCAAAACATCACGCCATAGGAACAGTTTCTTCCCCACTGCGGCCCGCCTCATCAATAAGGCCAGGAACACTCCTTCAAATTCTATTTCTCCATCCTAGCACAAGCATGCACTGTCTTAAATATGTATATATTTCCACTGCTGTATCATATTCAACATACACTAACTATTTATTTTTATATTAGTACCTGAACATGCTCCATGTACATATATATTTATATATTAACCTCCTCATCTCTTGAAGTCTGGCACCAACCACCAAAGCAAATTCATTGTATGTGTGAACGTACTTGGCAGTAAACTCGATTCTGATTTTGATTCTGATTCTGGTACACATTTGTGGATTGTCTTCTGTGGGTTACAAGTAATAAAATCCAATAAAAACATACATATAAGTGCCACATCCCATGTGATAGCGTGTAACATTGCAAACCGTCATCCAAATAATGAAAAAAATGTTGTCAAAAACATTATATTTTGTACCTGATACAGCATAACATGAAATGACAGATGTTTTTGTTTCAGCATCAGATATAAATCGTCATATCGCACAACCCTATATATAGTAACATAATGCATTTTGGTTATGTATTTTTTATGTACCCTGAATGTATACATATATATATGTAAAAGGAATTCAACTGGAAAGTGTCTCATCCACATAGTTTCAACAAGATGGTAATAAATTGTCATTTATTTCATGTTTATTGCTTTTGTATGTGTGGTTTTTCACATCTGTATTAGTTTTTTGTTGATTGATTGTATCATTAGTTAGCTAGGTTGATAGGTTTAAATAGGTAATCAATTGGGGGTCTGGAATGGATTAAATTCAATTACATTATTTCTTATGGAGAAATTTGACTTGGAACTCGACCAGCCTTCTGGAATGAAGTAAGTTCGTGTTCCAAGGTACCACCGTATAACTAAAGTGCTAAAGCTCCTGAGGGCAATTAAATGTCAAAAAATTGTACTACTTGCCAACAGTGTTTTTTAGTGTGATAGTATTCTTAACCCAAATGCTGTAAATGTAAATGTATATTTTGGACACAAATTTGTCATCCATCCATCCATAACCCCCATTCAGTACATGGTGAGCCTATCCGAGGTAACAGAGGACCTGAGGAAGGAGACACCCAGGCCAGGATGCTGGGTTATGGAGGTGTGAGGCCACAGTGCTACAGACAGGGTCATTTTGCTGCCTGAAAATATGTTTTATTGAAATTGAAATTGAGATAAAGTTTTGTGAGCCATTGGAATATAATAAGCCAAAGGTTCAGACACCCCAGGGCATCTGCTGCAAGTTTCCACCAATACTGTACTGATACGTCAGTGCAGGCTTTAGTACTGATTACAGTGTTAGACCCTGAAACTCACCAGATCCTTTATGTAACAGCTGCGGTAGACCTTCGTCAAGTCCTTTTCCACATGAGGACATGCTTTGTCCACTTTGGTCAGTAGTGCCACTAGAGGCACATCTAAAAACAGCAACAGAAATGTCTCACTAGTGACATATTATATGTTCTATGGAATAAGCCGTCATCAGGTGACAGATTCTTAAGCAAACTCATAGCAATCAGCACACTGATGTCTGTCTTACTCAGAAGCACCTGCCAGCATCACTCTGCCCTTCCTGAATCCACATGTGTTCAGTTGAGCTCATGTTTATGTCCTAACATTCAGTCCCAACTCCTTAAGTGGGCCTTATGTTAAAAAAAGCCCTCAAGCTTCTCACAGATGGAGCAGCTCTATAGGGAGGAACGTCCAGGAGCTCCTTCAGTTATGGCATGAGTGCTGTTTATGCCAAAGCTATGGAAAACATTCAGTTTGCCATTTTCCAGTCCAGTAAACTGAACTTCTCTGTGTTCTTACTGAATATCCAAATACATTATTAAAATCATTACGTCTCAGGGGTGAACTTACATTTTTACTTTCCTGTATGATAATTCAGTATTATTCATGGTTCAGGAAAAGCAGGTGTTAAAGCATATTATAACATCAACATAAATAGTTGCTTATGAATTTTGACCTCCCCAGATCCAACCCCCCTCCCCCCCCACTGACACACACTCAGTCACAGGTGTCACCTCCCTCCCTGTTCTCCTCACTGACTGACCTGCCGAGTTAGTTATCTTTTTGATTTCACCAATTTTATTCTTCATTCCTTGAATTCCAATTGTGGTGGCATCTATCACATACACCACACAGTGGATCCTGTCCTTAAGAGCCAATGTGCTGCACGCCTGACAGTCATCAGCTTTCATTGGCTGTGCAGGGTTGAACTAAACAAAAAGGTGTGAATGACATACAGACATGCATTGACTCTGAGATCATAGGAAATTCAAGCAAAATGCAATGTGAGTCCTTTCGTATGACATTTATGTAACAACAGTACATTATGCCAAAAACAATGAATGAGATTTAATTTCCTGTATTCATATAGCAGTTGTTTTTGAGGCCTGGTTAGATACACAAGTCTTACCTGGTATTTGTCTGGTACATAGCCCTTCAGGATGCTCACAAAATCTTCAAGTTTCATCCCTCCATCCTCCCTTCCTTCCAGGCCCATGGTGTCACACAGTAGGAATGCCAGAGGTGGTCCACCTCGACCTGCCCTCACCTGGTAAGTGCGATACTGGAAGAACACACATGATGTCATTCATCTTCTAGCTGCTTATCCAGTTCAGCAGGCATCTCAAACTGATATAATTTGGTGGCCAATGGCAAGGAATTCTTCAGCTCAGGTGACCCACTTTTTTTAAACAATAAAAGAATAATGTACTTAACAGCCAGCGTTAAGGGGGGGGGGGGATGGCAGAACCAAAGAAATGCAAGATATCAAGTGAGTGCAGAAAATTTCAAACATGATGGGAAAATTAATACTTCTTCACTAAAGTCAAGGGGAAATGTGTCTTATTTGCAAGGAATCTTGCAGTCATGAAAGAGTATAATGTATGATGACACTATGAAACTAACCATCAAACCTACACATCCTACAATGATGCCATGCGAGAACAGCAAGTCAAGCAAATGGCAGCTAGCCTGCAAGTTCAACAACACTTTCTTTCTCGTGGTAACAAAACACAATAAAATGCCACACTGGCCAGCTACGAGGTAGCTCAGCTCATCGCCCAACACAGGAAACCTTTCTCGGATGGGGACTTTATAAAACAGTGCCTCACTATAGTTGCAGGAATAATGTGCCCGGAAAAAATGCAGGGCTTCAACAACGTTAGCTGATTTTTAAAACATAAGAAATTTACAAACGAGAGGAGGCCATTTGGTCCATCAAGCTCGTTTGGGGAGAACTTAACTAATAGCTCAGAGTTGTTAAAATCTTATTTAGCTCTAATATGAAGGAACCCAGGGTTTTAGCTTCCGCTACACTAGTAGGAAGACTATTCCATACTCTAACTACACGCTGTGTAAAGAAGTGCTTCCTCAAATTTGTTTTAAAATGTTCTCCCGCTAATTTCCACCTATGGCCATGAGTTCTAGTATTTAAACTAATATT